TTGGCTGCTGGCTGTGCGACAACATCACGCACGCCAAGTGTATTGGTGTTGCAGCTCGGACGGTGGACGATGTGAAAAAAATATCGGCCTGCGTTACTGCTGCGAGGCCTGTCACGATGTGGAAAGGGAGATGATGTCTTTCATGCGACAAACCAAAAACGGCTTTATGGGCATTTTATCAAGTTTTTGTAAAACTCATGAAATGTTCTGGGACACCCAATTTAATGGCCTTACGCTATTAAATGAGACTCAGAGGCGCAAAAAAAAATTCTATTGGTGGGCATCATGTAAGGGACCTCACCTGATCAAACATGGGAAGATGTTCTCACCTTTATGCAAGCCAACAACAGAGCCGATAAAATAAAGATTAAGGTGGAAAAGTTTAAATTTTCTTTCACATTTCTTCTTTTAAAACAAATGTCCCTAACGAACTCTTTAACTCTATTTGTTCTACCAACTTCTGACCAGACGATGTTGTCAAGGAGTTCGAAGCGAAGACAAAGAAAAAGCGGCCTGTAGGAATAACTCTTCCCAGGCCTGATCTTACCAATGCGCCTTCTACATCTTCCAATCCCGACCCAAAAAACTAACCTTCTCCCTAGGTATTTCCTATCAGAATGCAACAGGCTTATGTAGTAAGCTTCCTAACTTTTATTCTGATAGCCTTTCGTTTGCTTCTCAGGTTATTGTGCTCACAGCCGGAGATTCTGATCTCCAAAGTGTTGAATTCCTTTGTGTGAAGCTATCTATCAAAGGTAGCTCCATTTTTATTACCTGTTTCTACATACCTCCATTGTCGGAATTCCCTATTTATTGGAACCACCTGTCCACTATTCAGGTGGTTTCCAGTAGACTTTTAGTTAGAGACCAGTTGGTACTCCTAGGTGTTTTAATATCCCTGGTTCTATTTTGTGCTCTAATAATTCCACCAATACTCTCCTAACATACAACATGATTTTATACAACATGATTTTATCGCTGGCCTGTTTGACAATTCGCTGCCTGAAGTCAACCATGTGCGAAATTCCTTTCAGCGCTTGCTCGATCTTTGTTTCGTCTCTGATCCTGCGAGAGTCAGTTTAGCCAGGGTGGCGCCTTTGACGCAGCGCGAAGATCCGCACCATCCAACTTTCGATGTGACTCTTAATATTGGGTCTGACTTACAGAATATATCTGAACGTCCAGGCAAAAAAAACCTCTGTTTTCGCAAGACGGACTTTGAACGGCTGAATAATTTTATATATAAGTTCAGTTGGTCCAAACTATACATGTGCACTGACATGGCAGTTGCCGTGGATATTTTTTACATTGCCATGAATTCATTTTTTACTGAATGTGTTCCGTTATACTAACCGCCAAGCTCGAATAAACCGCCGTGGTTTACTAAAGAGTTGAGCCGACTTAAAAATAAAAAATCTAGGCTGTATGCTAAATTTAAACTCACCGGTTTCAATCTGCCCTTTCTTCTTATTTATCAGGTCGGTCAAACTTTACCGTTCTGAAAGCGCAGCGTTATAAAACTATTTAACTCGTTGTAGGGCCCAGTTCTCACAGGACCCAAAACAGTTTTATAATTTTGCTTACACTAAACGTAAGCCTAAAGCAAATTCTTCCACGCTATCATTTGAAAATACTACTGCTAATAATGATCAGGCAATAGCCGATCGCAGTTTATTTTCGCAGTTTTTTCAAACAACTTATTCAAACTCTTCGAATTTGCACCACACTTCTCCCTACGACATACCCAAATCAAACTTAAGGTTCAGTCCTAGCCTAAACGAAAGAACTTTTCTCTTAGATCTTTATCTTGTCAAGCCAGTTTATTCGTCAGGTCCCGACGGAATTCCTTTTCAAACAACATAAAGAAGCGATATATATACAGTTTGTCAAGTAATTCTTTGCAAAACGAAAAATCCCTCACAATTTTGGGTTTAAACTGACAATTTATTAACAAATACAAGAATTAAAAAAAAATTTTTTTTATATTATTAGGATAAATTTAATCTATCAATATAAAAAACAAAACTTAAATATTTTAACATAAAACGCAGTAAAAAATAACAAAAACATTGCAAATCAAAAACTTTTAAAACAAGAAAAGGAGCTAACTTCGGCACGCCGAAGTTTATATACCCTTGCAGATAGAACTTCTATGACTTGGAATCTCAACAATATATATTATATTTATTTGTGTTAAAAAACAATGAAGTAATACCTGCTTTCATTTCATTCACCTATACATGCATGCATTTTTATGAAATTTGACACAAAATTTAAGACTAATATAAAATGGCTATACCTCAAGTTTGATGAAAATCAGCTGAAAACTGAAAAAGTTATAAATTTAATTGTATTAATTTCTCGATCGCTCCTATGGGAGCTATATGATATAGTAGTCCGATTTTCATAAAATTTTATGCAAAATTGTAGAGTATAGTAGAATGGCTATATTTCAAATTTGATCCAATTCTTTTGAAAACTGAAAAAGTTAAAAATTTTACGATCATTCCTATGGCAGCTATATGATATAGTCGTCCGATCCGGCCCGTTCTGACATATATACGAGTGACAGTATATAGAAGGCCAACTACAGTTTCATTCAGATAGCTTCAAAACTGAGACTAGTTTGCGTAGAAACGGACAGACGTACATGGCTAGATCGACTCGGCTGTTGATCCTGATCAAGAATATATATACTTTATATAGTCGGAGGTGCCTCCTTCACTGCGTTGCAAACTTCTGACTAAAATTATAATACCCTGCAAGGGTATAAAAAGGCGTAATTAACCATGCAAAGTCAAAAAATATTTTAAATTTTCAGTGTGTAAACAGTTTCTTGACATACTGTATACATATATTAAAAAATCACATGGATCAAACCTCTAAAAACAGATGCCAAAAACTATAGACTAGGCCGCATAGTAATGGACAGACAGATTGGCGGACAACAGGCAGTTTTACATTGTACCATACATTTACCGATCGCTCCTATTGGAGCTATAAAACATAGCCGCCCGATTCCAACTTCTATACTAATGAAAATAATGAACGACATGTCGAAATAAACTCGGCTACTGTTGCTGAACAAAAATAGTGACCAAATACATATGTACACTGCGCGTCATCAGATTAGCGCCCCCTGAACATTCTCGGGTAATGTCCAATATTATCCAAACTATCAAGGCTAACGCCATAAAACTTTTTTTGACGATACTTTTAATAATATTCTTCAATATAAGATAAGGTACATAATGATAAGTATAACAATAATATTTTATTTATGTGAAAAAAAAAATGTATACCAAAAATATGAATTTAATTTTGCGTCATCAGATTAGCGCCCCCTGCTTAAATTTAATGAATTTTCACTTAATACTTAACAACTAGTAGTGTTTTATGTTTTATCTTATTATTTACTTATTTTCTAATCAAATTAATAGTGGGTGGTCCCGCCCCCATTTTCCAGGACCTCACAGATCCTGCTGGGAAGTGACTCGTACAATTTCTCAACGTATTGTAATGATATTGAAGACAAAGCTTCTTTAATCCCGTCGATGAGCTCCAATTTTGTACTATACTGCTTTCCAGACTCGTATACTTTTCTCGAGAGCCATCCCCACACGTTCTCTATTATATTTAAGTCCGGAGAGTACGGCGGCCACTCCAGGACATCAACGTTTTGGCCCTGTATCCACGATTTTAAAGATCGGGCAGAATGGATTGGAGCGTTATCGTGTTGAAAACGCCATTTAAGATTTCCAAAACAATTTTGGAAGTGTGGAAAAGCCGTTTTTAAAAGATTATTATACGCCACAGCGTTCATTTTTGGGGTGAGAAATTGTAACTCATAGGTGCCATAATGGGATATGGCTCCCCATACCATTACAACACCTACCCGGCTATGTAAACGATCTAAAATATGCTCTTCTTTACGCATGTCATGGAAATAATAATTATAGCCGTCAGGGCCTTCTAAATTAAATATGTTTTCATCGGAAAAGACTACAAAGCGCCACTCCTTCGACCATGTCATATGCGAGCGAGCAAAATTTAGGCGCATTTCCTTTCGTAACTTATTTAGTTGTGTTTTTTTTTTTAGTTTTAGTCTTTTCAAGTGTTCTGCTTTTTTTATGACTCGTAATACCGTGGACTTGCTAGCTTCCACACCGCTTTTTTCTTTAATTTTGGTAGAAGAGTCGTGTGAATTAGACGCATGTCTAACTATAGACCGAATGTCTGCTTCGGAAAGAACTCTGTTGTTACCGCCTTTCATATTTTTACCATAGCCTTGTTTATTTTAATGAAAACTGGCTATAGTTTTTCGATGCCTTCCTATTTTTTCAGCAATTTTATGTAAAGATAAGCCACTTTCACTAAAGGCTTCGATCTTAGATTTTTCTTCTAAAGATAGGACAGTTCCTTTACCCATTTTGATTCTTAGTTTATAAACAATTATTCAATTAATCAGCACAAAAAATTTCACAACTGTACGCCAAAAATTACGCGAAATAACTAAATTTGAATTTGCAGGCGCTAATCTGATGACGCAAAATTAAATTCATATTTTTGGTATACATTTTCTTTTCAAATAAATAAAATATTATTGTTATACTTATCATTATGTACCTTATCTTATATTGAAGAATATTATTAAAAGTATCGTCAAAAAAAGTTTTATGGCTTTAGCCTTGATAGTTTGGATAATATTGGACATTACCCGAGAATGTTCAGGGGGCGCTAATCTGATGACGCGCAGTGTATGTACATGTATGTATATACTTTACAGGGTTGGAAATTAGTCCTTCGCTGCGTTGCAAACTTCTCAATATTATAATTACCTGGTAGGGTCGGTCCCACGGCACATACATATGTAAGTATGTTGTTACATACATATGTATTTTGACCAGCTTAATTCAACTCAGATCCTAGTCAAGGAGCTGTTGTCCCTTAAGAACAAAATGTTTTATTTTTATATCCAAAGTTCAAGTATTAAGTTCAACTCATTTTTAAGCGGTGCTAATATTCATTTATATTTATCGCTTTCATGTTAAGCTATTTAAGTTTAGAGAAAAGACTGTGCGCAACACAATGATCTAATTCAGCGACATAGTCAAACAATTCTTCCACGCACGTCTCAGTTGTTTTAGATCGTCCATTTACACGATCATTGCACTCCTGGTATTTGTTGTACAAAGCCTCAATATGTGCCTTAGCATGGCATTTTTCCTGTTAAATTAATTATTTAAAATACAAATAAATACAATTTTAAATACTGCATACTCTAAGTGCGCCTTGAGGATCAATTAACTCGTCTTCATCATCGGCTTTAACAATGGGCAGTGAAAACCAGTTAAAAGCCATATTGCTAACTGTAAGGACAAAAGTAAAGTAATTCAGTAAATACTGTTCAATGAAAATATATGCATTAACCACCATAAAAATCAATCAAGGGAAAAAAAATAATTGTATGCTGTGAATGAATATATTTACGTGAACGCCAGGCTAGTAATTAAGTTTAAATAAAATTTACAACCTTAATAACCTTTTTTTAGAATTTGACGGTGATATAATCAAAATGTCTAAACTAGAGCTAAGAAACCATCGATAGGACAATCGATTAAATTGACAGAAAGCATTTTTATAAATTTTTTTTTTCAATAATAACCTATTCACACATATTTTCCGTAACAATCTATCCGTACCGTCTCTTATACCCATCCACCATCCAATAACAGCGGATCGAAGGTTTTAGTTCCGCAGAAGCCACTTCTATCATCTTTTTTTATGTTTCCTAGTGAATGCGCAAAATTTCATTATAAAGAAGAAGAACTCAGACTTGCACCAAAAAATCCTCGCCTAATCATCGGTTAAAAAGAGATTACATGTGGATAAATAATCGTCTTGAAACCTATCATTTTCGTTCAGGTTTTGCTAAAAATCAACTGTATTTGTTTCTAAATCCAAGTACTCTCATTAGATAAGACGCTTAAAATGTAAGAGAAATTGCTTCATAATTCGTTCGGGAAAACGTGTGACCAAATTAAAGAAAGTGTACGAAAAGAGTCGCTGAGACATTCATATATAATTAGGAATTAAAAAAGCTATAAATCGAAGTTTAAATACTCAAGTATTAAAGGGTGAATTAACATTGATCTATTACGCTGCTATGGAGAAAAAGGCTTATAACGCGAAGCACTAACGCTGTCGTCATCTCACAACTGATTTTTTGTGTAACTAAAATTTTTTTTTGTAAGTTACATATATTGTAATGTTTCATTTTAACCTCATCCTGCCGTCTTGAAAATTGATAGTTTCTCATTCATCATGTGTTTCATATATTTCGCATTGTAAATCCAAACAGTTTAGCTTATTGGTCTGGTAACGCTTTATATTATTCTCTCCCAACATCTATTTTTTCTATTTGTAAGATTTTTTTTTTTTCTCTCGCTCCTTATGTTTGTACTTGGGTTTAAACGACGAACGACCACTGATTCTGTGCAAAACCCATTTTTGTAAGTTCGTAAATACATATTTTAAACCGGAAAGTAATAATTTAACATTTATCTGTAATGTTAAATAAATTTTAATAGAGCCTGGCGCTGTTTAGTTAACAAAGTTTCTCCGATTGCTGGTTAAATGTTAAAATTTTTTAAACATTTAATAGAGGTGCTACTTTTTACAGTCAGTCCAATTCCTGCTGTTTGTACGTCCGATTTAATTGTGGTGCCCTTCTTTTTAAATTTTAAGCGAATTAAATTCAAAATATTGCTAGAAAGTGAGTACAGCTCTTTGCCCTTCTAAAAAAATGTATACATATATTGTAGAGTTTCTATTCTTGTTGTGTGATATCAATAATAAAGTGCACCTTTACGCACCTCCTCAGGAATGTAAGTGCTTATAACCTTATCTTTAGAATATTAAGCCATATATTCCACTGATATTTCAATTTTAATTTATGGTATACCATATATGTATGTATACTTCCAACTGATTTTCAAAAATGTCGGTTTGTACGAGTTGGTTTTATCATTGGATACTGCATATGGTTGATCGCCTGAATCATAAAAAAATATTGTCATTTGTAGTAAAAAAAAATGTAAAAATTATGTTTTTTATTTATAAAACTAATTTATATTATAAAAAAAAAAAAAAATATATATATATATATAATATGTTTTTTCACTGAATCATTAAACCCTAACAAATATGATATGACTACGCCCATTTTTCTCAAAACACTTTTTTGTTATAATAAAGTTGATCCAAAAAACAGAGCCTAAAGTTATTAATTAAAGCAACAAAAGGTGGACGTTCGCCCCATAAAGCGGTGTCCACATAGTTTTAGATCAAATAAGCAGCAAAGCACAATGTTCACACTCGCAATTCAAATGTGCACCTATTAAACACATTCTCTGACATATACGGAGTGCATTTATGTAATCTGGATCTAATGGGCAACCGTCCCACTTCCCTGAGTCCCTGAGTACGGTGTCACCGTGGCGGTGCTCCCGCGCTGTGTACGGGCAGCAGAAATTTGATGCAGACCAGCTGAGTGAAGCAGTCGTGAGTACTCAACAACAGCAAGCCTCAGGAGTTCATTAAGGATCCTCTGCATCCGATTATTCACTACAAGGCGTCGGTCTCTGGCGGTACGAGTGGTGAGAGCGTTTTTTTCTCATTTTATACACGCATAAATGTGTATGCCCCCGCAGTATATGCCAGTCACTTCAGCTGTGGCTCAGTGCTGATAAATACCAGCCGGCACCAGGTGGCGCTATGTTGATTCGAAGCGCCGGTGGCGCTTTCGAAATCGCACAGAACTTTCGCAGGGTACGAAAGCTACCTGTTACGACACGTAAATGTGATCTCGATGTGGCATAAAGTGGTGAAATCGGGGTGAAACTGGAAATCCTCCACATTGCGTTTGTCCCAACATGTGTATAATGGACGTTGATGCACTACGGTTAGTACACTCAAGTGGCCCTTATGAAACTAAGCACGTGCCTGTTGGGTTAGGTGTAAGCGTGATAGAAAATATAGAAAAGAGTACGAGGAAATTAACTACCAGCGTACGTAGGTAGGTTACAGTGGTGAAGCCCATTGCTGGGGCCTCCAATTAGAGCTTAGCTCCTTTTTGTTCCACTCCCACTGTTTTTTTGTTGTTATTCACTATCAGTACCATCCAGAGTCAGCAAGGAAACCTAGGATTGCTGAAACTTTCAGCTTTCCTATGTTTCTCAGTGACTCCATCTGGTGGGCACCGAAGTGGCGAAATCTGATGTGTTTAGCGCAGGGCAGAAGCAGAGCAGATGTTCCGGTGTCTCTTGCTCTGTAGGTTGCTTACAGCTTCTACAGATTGCGTTGTATGGCAGACCCAACTTCATTGCGTGGTGAGTGCCGTGAACCTGCTGATATCCCGCTTGCTGTTGGATAGCAGTTCCTTGGTTCGTTTCTTGTCGTACCTCAGCCAACATTCCCTTGACCTTCTGTGATCGGTCTTATATTGCTATTCTTTATTAGCTATTTGCTTAAAGTGGTCATGGATCCTTGTCTGCATCGCGTTTAGGGAGATCGGTAATTCAAAGTCAGAACTTAGCCCTGCCATGTCTGCACGGGATAGTTCGTCTGCCTTCTCATTTCCTGGGATCTCGTTGTGTTCCGGTACCCATGTTACTTGTACCTTATTTTTGTCGGCAAGTCAATTCAGTGCCTTCTTGCATTCTGCCACTAGTCGTGAGTTCGTTTTCACGGCAGATAGGGATTTTATAGCCGCTTGGCTATCCGAGTAGATTCGAACTCTTTTGCCCCTGAGGTCCTGCCTGAAGGAAAGTTCGACTGCTTCCCTTATGGCTATTAACTCAGCCTGAAAGACCGTCGCTGAGTTAGAGAGATTGAAAGCCTTTTAAATTCCCCAATTTTCAGCGAAGATCCCAGCCCCTACGCCGCAGCTCATCTTTGAGCCATCGGTGTAGAGGGACACCTCGTTCTCCACTACTACTCTGCCCCTACTCCAGTCATCCCTTGATGGGTATGATGTCGAGAATGCGTTCCCGAATTTCATTTCCGCGATCATGTAGTCTGTCTGAACGTCTGTGTTAATGCCACTGTTTGCAAGGATCTTGCCGTGCCCGGCGCCGTAGTCCCTCCAGCAATTTCTCGCCTTCAGTCTTACTGCGCTCTGTGCTGCAGTGTCCTTCACGAACAGCTCTATTGGCATTATATCCAGGATAGCGTTAAGAGCAGCCGCGGGGCATGAGCGCATTGCACCCACTGCCCCCGCACTCGCTGCCCGTTGCATCCGTGTCAGCTTCGATCTGTTGGTAGCCCTAGTTAGTGCCGGCCACCATACTAGGGCTCCGTATGTTAGAATTGGCCGTACCACTGCAGTGTAGAGCCATAGAATTATCTTTGGGTGCAGTCCCCATTTGTTCCCAAACATTTTCCTGCAGGAGTAGAATGCAATGCTTGCTTTCCTTACCCTTTCTGCAATGTTATCTTTCCATGAGAGCTTTTTATCCAGAATAACTCCTAGACACTTCGCTCGCTCCGATAGTTTTAGCTCCACGCCGCTAATACTGGGCATGTTGAAGGGTGGTATCTAAGTTCTTCGTGTGAAGAGCATAAGTTCCGTTTTAATGGGGTTGATACCTAGTCCGCAGGTTTCTGCCCATTTGCTTAAACGACCTAGTGCACCCGTCATTATTTCGCTAATAACGTCAGGGTATGGTCCTGATACTAGCAGTACTACGTCGTCCGCGTATGCAACTGCTTTGACTCCACCCGTATTGAGATCTGTCAATATGGCGTTCATATTTGTGAGCCAGAGTAGGGGCGATAGTACCCCGCCCTGAGGTGTGCCTCTCTTCACAGTCCGCGTGAGGTGAGTGCCACTCAGTTCGGCTGTGATCGTCCTGCTCTTTAGCATGACTCCGATCCGACTCTGATGCCTCTCTCAATACCTAGCAAGTTGAGGGAGCCCAGTATAGAGTCGGGGTTCACGTTATTGAACGCGCCCTCGATGTCTAGGAAGGCTGCCATCGTGTATTGTTTGTGTTGTAATGTCTTCTCGACATGATGTACAACTACGTGTAGCGCTGTTTCCGTAGATTTTCCTCTGCGATACGCGTGCTGCGCATCCGAGAGTTGATGCCCTTCTAGAGACTCTCGGATGTGGACGTCTCTCTAGTGTCTTCAGGGTGATGGAGGTGAGACTTATCGGTCTATAATCCTTTGCTAGGATGTGCCCCCTTCTGCCCGGTTTCGGTATAAAAATGACTTTAGTCTCTCTCCACAGCAGTGGGACGTGCGTCAGTCTTAAACAAGCTTCGTAAATGGCTTTAAGCCATTTGCAAATACTATCCTTAGGTGATTGTAGCATTGCCGGTATTAAGCCGTCTGGACCCGGGCTTTTATACTTATCGAAAGAATCTATTGCCCACTGAATTCGCTCAGTGGTAATGATGTCTTTCGTAGGTGTATCCATTTGAGAGCTCGTTCCCTCCTCGGGTTCCGAGCTCACTCTTAGGCTTCCTGGGAAGTGGGTGTCAACTACTAGCTCTAGTGACTCCTCAATTGTCGTCGAAGCAGAGCCGTCTGCCCTGTTGATCAGG